GCTACGGGGTGGCAGCGGCGGCCCAGCACGGAGCGGCGCGGGCCTTCCCCAGCGACCCGCACGCCGGCTCCCATCCGAAAGGAGATCCTGGCCCTGTCTTGCATGGCAGCGGTACAAGCAACCAGTGGGAAAATATCCCTAATTTCCCCAGCCAAAACAAGCCTGACCTCGTGCCCGGCGACAGCCTGTGGCCGTCAGCGAGTCAACAGCAGTATGAAATAAGAAACGAGCTCTACAACCCCGAAGAGCCGACACCTGACACAAAGTTCAGCGCGGCCGCCCCCCCCGCCTTCGGCCGCCTCAACCACAGCAAGCAGAGCTTCGGCAGCCCTCGCATGAGGCAGAAGGAGGAGCGGAGCGGCGGCGCGCCTGACCTGCCCGCCCGCTCCCTGCTGCCGCACCAGCTGGGTGACCTCCACGGGGCGGCCCCCCTCCACTTCCCCCACGTCTGTGCCCTGTGCGACAAGAAGATCTTCGACCTGAAGGTGAGTGGTTTTAAGGTGCCCCCAGGGCACGGTTCGGACCTTTGAACGGGCTGCCTGGTGACTGATCTGGCCGCCGGCTCCCGCCACCCCTCGCCGCCAGTGTCCATCGCCACAGCGGTGCCCCGAGAGAAGCGGAAACAAAGGGCCATAGTTTTGCTTAGGGTGTCGTACATCTGTTTCATGGCAATTACCAGGCTTTCGAGACCTGGTTTTGTTTCACATCTCGCTGTGAAAGGCAGGGAGGTCACGGTGCTGGTGTGAGAAACGTGAGGGTTGGGCTGGGGTCGCAGGTCATCTCGTGGGCCCGAAGCGAGGGGAGGAGGACCCTGAAGCTGATCCCCTGGTTCTCAAGCTGGTATTGTAACCACATGTCTGCGGTTTCATCTGCCTCCCCCTTTCTCTTTGCGTTTCTGATCCCGAAGGCTTCCCCCTAACAGCCTTTTAGAAGCAGCTTGCTTAAACAAAACAGCGCTTTTTGATAAAATGATTTTAATAATTCCTCTGTTGGGATCTCTTCCTCCTTCTAGTAGCTCTAAGGAAAATTTAGGACTCTGGGTCCCCAGTGACTTTGGCCTGGAAGCAAGAAGCTGCTCGGCATGTGTGGTGCAGACCACGCTCCCACTTCTCTGCTCATACTGCCAGGGGAGCTCCAAATTCAACCTCACCCTCGAGAAGAAGCTTCCCGGTTGCCCGGAGAGCCCGTGTGCTAGGTCACGTTATATAGGTCAGGTCTGGAGAAGCCTCTGAGCCCCGCAGCGGTAGCTGGGTGCTGGCTGGCGTTGTTCTGTCCTCCTGGTGAGCCCCACTCACCAAGTCCTCGCAGCCTTTTCCATCGCATCGCAGGAGCGGCACCTAACTGCAAAGGCGTCTGTTTTCACGCTGATGGTAGCCCAACAAAAACGTTACAACAGCATGTATATAGGAAGGAAGATGGCCAGCAAATGAAATAGTACCTGATACTTAACACACCCCAGGGTTTTCAGATATTTGAATGTATTTACTCTTTCATGTTTCCCTTTTACTCTTTGAGCAGCTGCTTGTAAAAGGGTTTGCTGTGGTTACTGCAGCTACAGGACTGGTCTGAAGTAACCCCTGTCTAGGGCATGCTGAGCATTTCTTTTTTTCATTAAACATTTTAAAAGGGCAGGGAAAATGTTGTTATGGTGAGTTTCGGTTGATCTGTTTGCTGGTGTTTAATACGTTGCCTCATTTGGATCACAGGAGTGTAAATAGCTAAATGTACTTTGACAAAGTCTGCAAATCTATTGAAATGAATAAGCGCTGCCCTGGCTGCCCTGTGTGCTGAGCACCTTCGTTATGGACATTGCAGGAGTTGAGGGTGCTCAGCGCCTTGCAGGATGAGCTCTTCAGCTAGAGTGAAGTACCTGAATTAATAGAAATACACTGGATTTAAAAACTAATACAGAGAAGCTCTCCTTTTGTAAAGTAACTGATAAGTTAACCCACAAATAAGGAATCAATAAGTGCATTGGATGAAGGTGCGCTTGGCTCCAGCACCACACAGTTCGATCTTCAGCATCTCAGTATTGTTTTTAAAATAAGGTAAACTGAATGGAGAAGCAATCTCTTGTAAATTTGTCTCAGGATTTTTCCTATGCTCATCATCTCTTTGTTTCAACATAGGACTGGGATCAGCACATTAAGGGAAGTCTTCACATCCAAAAATGTATGGCTTTTTCAGATAAGTAAGTATTATTTTAGAGACACTCTTCCAACTGAATTTCTAACAGAGCATCCCTTACTTCAGTGGCTTTACACAGGGAATTTACTGTCTAATAATTATGCTTTAGTATTTATGGCACATTATGCATGCTCCTAAAGTTCTTTTCTTTCTTTTCCAGCACTGGTATCCGGTGTGTGTTAAGCTCAGCAGATGGAACATTGCATTTGTCACCAAATAATGCAGCAGTTTTCAATCCGTCTAGTATCGAAGGTGAATGGTTGTATGTGCAATAGTAAAAAACACTTTTTTTTTAATTGAAAGGGAAGTCAGTCTGTGGGGAAAAGTGGACATTTTAAATGAAATGTGATACAAGTTTGCAAGGAAAACTTTTTAGAGGTTGTGCATGGAAAGGCTAAAAGCCAATACTGTGCCTTTCAAAGTATGAATTTATTTTTCTTTTAGACAATGACTTGTTTTCACAGTACAATGAAACAGTCTATAATTTGGTGTAGAGACTATGAAATTAATTATTATGTAAATGAAGCATTGCTTACTGAGCAGACTAATGCAATTAATATGAGTCAAGATTTTCACGAAATGTGTGTAATCCATTGTTTAGATTATCCACCAAATGTCGGCTCATCTTTTATCACTACGTCAGCAAGATCCTTTGGCCAGCCAGGTCCTACATTTTCTTCTCCTCCATCAGGGGTAAGAGTGAGTACCTAAGCAAACTGATCTCTGCGTCGAGATTCTTGCAGAAGCCACTTCTACTTACTGGAATTAAAACTGTGAAGGCTTCCTTTTAGACAATAACCTGAATATTCAGTCTGTTATTTCAACTTACCTGCAGCTCTTTTATGCTTTTGATTTTGGCCAGATCAGAAGTTGCTTGTAGGTTTTTTTTCCAGTGCTAAAAGTTGTTCGCTTGTTAAAGAGATTTGGGGAGGGGGGTAAATGGTTTTGTGTGTATATCCCATTGACTTTTTCCCCCCATTTTCTGAGTCTTTTCAACCCAGCTTCAGCTTGGAATGAAGATTTGGATTAGTTTTTACTTACTCTGAGTATTGATCCCAGCAAGCAGCCTGCCATCATCTCTCCAGTTATTTACTTGTAGCAATTGCTCTCTGCCTCTCCCATGCTGGGGTCCTTCTACCAGGTAGCAATAGTGGCAAAGATCGTGACTGCAGCTTCGCTAGCTGTTACTCACCTGGGGGTCCCAGATCAATTCATTATACTGGACTAGCTTTTTCTTATTTTATTTTAGTGTACCATTTATATCATCTGCTGCCACTGGTAACCTTTCAGCAAGTTTGCTTTGCTGTACAGCCTTCCATGGTTTAGGTTTATCAGCGCCCCCAGCATTCAGCACAGGTCCCCAGTTATATTGCTTTAATGTGCACTTGAATTCCTAGTCCAATAATCAAAAAATACCAAGGAAAAAAAAAAAGATAACATTAAAAGTGGTTCTTACACTGACAAAGCAGAAAGATTTTAAAAGGGAAAAAAAAAAAAAGAAAAACAAGACAAAAAAAGGCAAATAAAAGCAAATCATATACATAATGGAAATACAAAGTTGTTAGGGTTAAAATGAAGCTCAACATATATCAGCAATCTACAATTAAAGCTGGAGGCATCAAGGACTCATGTTAGGACGTTCATGGAATAGCAGCAGTAATCCAGGGGTTCAAGTTTTCACCTTGTTAGCTTTTGTGTATATATCCTGATGCGGTCTCAGACACTCTGGAAAGCCAGGCTGAGCTGTGTCCCTGTGCCGCTCCAGTTTGCATCAGGCATTGCTTACAGAAACGTCACCCGGGTTTGTTTAAACCAACCGATTTTTCTACTGTGTGGCTTTGCTGTGACAGAGGTTATCTGAAGGGGTTTTAGCTTCTGCCTGTCACAGACACTGTGTGTGCACAGGAGCAGAGCTGCTCATGACGGCTGCCTCCAAGGTCAGAGGTGGAGTAGCAGCGGGTGCGGAGGAATGTTCCTTTTCATCATGTCTGTCAGCCTCGCAACAAATGAAATTACTGCTAATGCCAGTATCATTTCTCCTTAGAATCTGTCACTATTTATCATTTAAGCTGCCTGCAGAGGTCCTCCTTCTGAATGACCGGCAGTACTATGAGAGATAAAAGAAACAATAACTTTGATTTTCCTGTACACTGTAAATCCTCTTTTTCTTCAGAAGATCATCGGGTGGACAGGGAGCTATATTAGAGGTGTTAAGATTGATTTTGCCAGCTGTCATTCACCCTGCAACCCAGGTGGCTTATAATTTATTACACCTTTGCGCGGTAGTATTCACTTTCAGCTAAGCTGCTGCCATTTAACTGAGCAGTGGGAGATTATACTTGACCCTGCATGTAATCATAAACAAAGTGTTCAGATTTCTGGAAGAGCTTGCTCTGTGCTGTCCATCTGCAAATAACTCTGTCCCTCTTCAAAAGGCAAATACAGTGCTGCAAGTCTCCACGCGGGCATGGAGAGCCATTAGCACTGGAGGGATGGGACTTTCAGTTTCTTATTATCTTTAGAAAAGATTCATGCGAAGCTCAAGAAAGGGATAAAGAATTTGAAAAGCAAGAAACAAAAAAAAAAATGGAAAAAAAAAAGCTATAATAAAAAATAACTGGACTGGATTGGTGAAATAATATGGCAAATGGTATGAGGTGCATTTCACTGCCGTGCATCAAATTTTTTTTTAGTAGCTGTCCAGCTGCATTGGTAAACCCCTGTAGACATCAGTTGCAAAGAAATTTAACTTAGAGTCTTATTGAAAATTACATTCAGCACTTGACCCACAACAGCTCCTCTAACTTCCTGACTGTGGATATGGAAGGTGTATATTCCTTTTCTGGCTGTGATTTACAGCTCTATTTAATTAATGGATCCAATTTAACTTCAATCAGCTGACAAGATTATTGCTTGGTACAGCCCATCGACTTCTGGTGTGAGTATGTGACCACTTCTTAATCATGAATTACAGCAGATTTATGGCACAGCATTTTAATTTAAGCCATTGCCAATTGTGAGGAGGTGGTAACATCTTACAGTCATTTGATTTAATGTACTGCTGAGCGCATATCTGAACACAGGCTCTGGAGCCGACGTGGGGAACAGCTAAGTCTTTCTAGTCCCATAGACTCTTAACATACCATCTCCTAACAGATCTAACAAAACAAACAGAAGGTGCCAGCTGACCTGGGGTGTTCCTACACTGGGACTCCATTTGCTGTCAGGAAAGTTGCCTTTTCCTCTGCTGGCTGTAGTTGTATTCTTCTGTTGTGCGCTACATGCTGCCTTGCCAGATGCACGCAGCCGTCGCTTCCTTTTCTATTCAATACTTAAGTAGCTTCATCTTTTCCAGGATCAGGTCTTTGTTATTTTTCTGCTAGAGAAAATATCTTGCTTCTGGACTTTGGCACTTCTTTGACTTACGTTAGGCACCTGGGCAGGGTCTGTAAGATGCAAGCTAAGAAGCAGACCACTGTATAATACAGGGTCTGGCTGCAGCAAAAATACACAAATGGTTAAGTGGTGAAGCCTGGAGGGAAGGTAATGGGATGAAGGTGTAAATAAGATAACATTAGCTCTGTAACTTGTGAACTTGCTGACAAGCCAAACATTTGTGATGGCTCTGGTGAACTTGATCCCACAAGATTACGTAATTTGCATCTTCCCTTGAATGGCACAATTTTAACGGAAGGTAGAGTTACTTCTTCAGTAAAATCCTAACAGCAGAGGTCATAAACAGGGAAGTAGTCTGGGAAGACTTAATCCTGGGTGAGCGATGTTTTGCATGTCATTAGCTGGGGTAAATTATGTTCCTCTCTGAGTATAACCCTGATGCCTCTTTGCACAAGGAGTGTAGAGCCTGCTTTCCATGTCAGGGAGACGGGCAGCTCTTTGGGAACTGCCCCAGCACTCCAAAATAGACTTCCACCCTTGGGAAGCGATTACCGCACTGGCAGCCGTGTGCCTGTGCCAGCCCAATTTGGGAGCTCTGCCTCTCTGCGTGCCCAGTGGTCACTCGGCCCCCAGGGGAAAAGTCCCTCCTACTGCGTGTTGTTGCAATGAGAGGGGAAAGTAGTAGGTTTTCCAATCTGAGGTACAGCTGTGTGTCCTCTCACAAATTAAATGGGGTCACCTTTACCCCCGGCCCAGGTTGTTCCACCAGGGCAGAAGGAGGATCTAAATTCAGCCCCTGCTATCCTGAACACCTCTGTAGTCACCTGAACTGATTTCTAACGTCCATAAATTCAACAGGGATTGCAGTGAGCATCTGTTTCAATTTCCAGGCGCCACCAGCACCACATAAATGGGTGGTTATGGAATACCTGAAAGGACTAATTTTTTGTGCATTGCTTGCAAATTATCTGCTAAGGGCCTTTTACTCAGCAATAGTGCATGGTGCCTTCCTGTGTGGGGAAGGCACAGAGCCCCCAGCGGGACAGACAGATGCAGACGGGGTGAGGAAGGCCGTCTGACTTGGCAGAGGAGCTGTAGGGGTTGTGCTGGTGTACCTGCTGGGTACTGGCCCCGCAGGGAGCTCGTCAGGAGGGGCTGAGACCTCCCCATGGCAGAGGCACCCTCTGTCTCCAAACACCGAGAGGCCTCCAAGCTCTGGCTGGTGCTGAGTACAGCGCAGTGGCGTGTGCCCGTGGCAGCCCAGCCCTCTGCTGTGACATGCCAGGGAGCTGAAGCCCTGGTGTCCATAAGGTTTGAGGTGGCAAGTTACCTTTTGCAGCAATATTGTTAATCCTGTTTGAACAAGAGCATCTCTTCTAGAATTCCTCTCTGGACTTTGTAACGTCTGGAGATGGAGACTCCATTGCAGGCTGCACTGCAGTTAAACATTTCCCTTCCCATTTGTATTTCTAAACCAGGATGCTAAAATGCACGGTTTTAAAGAAGGATATTTGTCCTTAATAACAGGTATGCAAAACAGAACATTTCATTTTTTGCAGAAATGTAAGGCCTTATCAAGTGAATGGAATATCTAAGGTAAAAACATTGTTTTGAGTTGTTTTTTTCCCCAGTTTCCCCAGAGGAAATCTACACTGGGTCGAGTTGTTCACATCTGCAACCTCCCCGAGGGAAGCTGCACAGAGAATGATGTCATTAACCTGGGCCTCCCGTTTGGGAAGGTCACCAACTATATCCTCATGAAATCCACTAACCAGGTACTGTGCATTTGGGGTCACCAGTATTGACGTCTATTGCTATAAAGACATATTGACAGGAAGACAGAGTCTTTGGGGAAAATCTCTTTTTTAGTCATAGAAACTTAAATATATGAAACCTGCTCTTAAAGTAAAAAAAAAAAAATTGGTGTTCGCAGAATAAGACGATGGCATAAACATGACCACTGCCTCATAGTTCTTGTTTAAAAAACCCAGAAATCTCAATGAAGAAGCATTGTAAAAACTGTACTTTTAAAAATAATGATAATAATTTTTAAAAAGTTAATAACTTGGCCTTCTTCTCTCAGCCATTTGTTAGGGTTACTTTCAGACTTCTCTTGTTCTGCTTGGGAGGTTTTTATTGCTTTCTTACCCACACTCGTAGAGCTGAACTGGGCATTGAAGAATGACTTGCATACTAGCCTGGTTCGGCTGTCCTGCACTGTTTGCTGAACTGTTGTTACAGCAGAGGCAGATCCTGCAACGGTGTAATTACAGTTACAGGCTGGTGGCAGAGCCCCCAGGCCACGGCTGCGTGGGGTGATCGGGCACACACGTGCTAAAGGAAGGCTGTGCCCTTACAGGGGGCACTGACACCTCCCTCTCTTCTAATCTGCACCGGGTTGTAGTAGAGCTCTTTCTTCAAGGTAGCTTAAGTCTAGTTTAAGTCTACCAGTGGTGGTAGGCTGAGAAGACTAGAAAATCTGCTCTCAAATACCTGCAGCAGGCAGTACAGATGGATGTAGAATCCACACCAGTCGGCAATGTTTGAGATATTGTAATGTTTCAAAATGCAGTCATTACACAGCTGTGAGTATATTCCTTGACCAGTTAAACTGCAGTCACATCAAGTGCAATTTTTGTGTAAATAAAAGTGCTAGTTAACATAATTTGGGTTTTTTTAAACTCTTTTTTGGCTTTGTTCTGGCTGCTCATGCTCTAATGTTCTGCTTTTATCTGGAGCCCTTGCAATTCTGCAAGACACAGCTGACAATCTCGGGAGCAGCGCACGCTGCAACATTGCAGTTCTGCATCCTGTCAGCAGCTGACCATGGTGTAGAAGCACCAGTGAGGAAGTGAGGGAAAGGTGATGTTTTCATATATCGAGAAAGATTAGATTCCAGGCATTTAGTTTTTAACTAAATGGGCTTCTAAAGTTGCATATAGACTTTAATAGCTGGGTTGAAACCATTATTTGCAGTTAAAAGGAGGCTGAGCAACGGACTGAGTGTTACTATTTCAGCTCCAGGGCTGGAAAGCTATCCAGTTCTGTACTATCAAGACATCTTCCATGAGAAGCATCCAAATTAAAATTATTGTGCTGCCTTTTCTCTCTTACACTTTTTCTTAATTATGTAGTAGATGTTAAAGCTCTCCCCATTTGTGCTAGGCCTTTCTGGAAATGGCTTACAGTGAAGCAGCACAAGCCATGGTGCAGTACTACAAAGAAAAACCTGCTATGATAAATGATGACAAGTTACTTATTAGGATGTCTAAAAGATACAAGGAATTGCAGCTCAAGGTAAGATAGTAATTCCTGATCAGATTTCCTGATTTTCCATGGCACGTCCTGGAGAATACACCTAAAAATCTTCGCTGATTACTGATTTCTAATTAATGCTTTAATGTTATGGAAAAAGAAATTAAGAAAGATAAATTAATGAATGTATATTGATGGTCTTTTATACTTAGCTGCTTGCTCTTGTTCTGAATTTTAACTCTTGGAAGAGACTCCATTTTCTCTGGTCCTCTCATACCATTATTTCAAAAATCCCTTCTGAGCTTCCTTCTGAGCAGGCTCCCCACATTGCTTCATCTAACAAAGATCTAAAACATAACCATGTGTAAGATACAGCATGTCAGCAAAAATAAGATGGTCCTGTCCTTTTAGTCAGGCATTAAGCCTGAAGCAGTTCTTTTCAAAGCTTGCATGCTTGAGCCATATTACAGTCTCTATACCAAGCAGTGAAGGCAGGGCTAAACATCGCACTGATTCCTTTTTCTTTCTTGTGAATGACCTAAACTAAAAGGCAAGATTTTTTTATTTTTTACATAGAGTCAGAACAGAGCAATAGTCTTTGGACTTTCTGTAGAGCGTGTGACACTTCTGATGTGGACACCTGAGTGATGTCCAAAAGTCAGTGCTCTTGTGAGCATATTTATGGAAGCTTATGTACTGCCATGTGTAATGCTAAGAGTATTTTTTTTCATGGAGGCTTGGACTGGAACTGGCAATGCAGAGCGGAAAAGCTTCATATTATCTAACACAGCACAAAGTTATTTTATAAAATAACTCTGTAATATTCCAAGTTAAGAGGTTAAGGGGCCTTTTATGAGCCTTGAGGCAAAACAATTCACTCAGATGGTTTGGTTTGACCTTTGGAAAAGTCTCTCTCTCTCTCCTGTATGTCTATAATAGTTTAAGGAGACTTAAAGGAGTTGCCAAAAGTGCATAAACCAGGGCAGTCTTTCTTTGTGTGGTATGGTGAGGGGTTCAGATATAGGGTGGCAGAGACTGTGCATCTTAACATAGAGGCGGAACAGGAATTACCCAGAAGGGTGTGTGTGTTTGCCTAGATTTCAGGAAGATCGTCAGCTTTTCCAATGGCAGTTTTTTAGGTCATGGAATTATTTTTCTCTGCACAAGCAAAAGCCCTTTCTCTTTGTTAAAAACAAACAAACAAACAAAAGTGCAAGTTGGAAGGGGGAGTATGCATGAGCTATTTACCACTACAAACTGCTCTGAGTTCCTGCATGATTATGTTGCTCAGCTGTGCATGCTCCAAGTGTTTGACGAATTGCAGCCTGGAGTAGTGCATCTTTTGTAAATGATCTTGAATCTCAAGGAATCAACACTTCCCGTACGCATCCTTCTTGCACTTAGCTTTTCTGAAGCTCTTGTGTCTAAACATAGTCTTTTAGAGCTATACTCCAGAATGAGCTAAACTCTGAGATAAAGAGAAGGCAGTTCATTCCTAGAGGGTCAGAGATAGGCTGTTATATGTATTTAATTCAAATTAATTCTAATAATATTTGAAAAAGTGTCTGGTTTGTTTCCTTTTACATCTAATTCCTAGGCAATACTCTGTAGTGAATGTGTAACAGGGAAGGACAAGCTAGTTTTCAAAGCCTGTTGCAGCAGCCAAGGGTGAGGAGACAGTGCTACAATGTAATGGAGCAAATTTTCCATTTGTATCGTTTTACTGCTTTGATCGTGTTATTGAGATACCAGCTGCAGAAGACTGTAACCACAACACTGAAACCAAATATTTCTCAGTAGTAGTATAATTGAATGATGCATGGATGCTGTTTTTTGAAGGGCAAATCACCTATATTAGCTTGGGGAGTAGTGCAGCATGCTAAAGCGTCTTTGTCTTATTTAGAAACCAGGTAAGAACGTGGCTGCTATCATCCAGGACATCCACTCGCAGAGGGAGAGGGACCTGCTGCGTGAAGTGGACAGGTAAAGTTTCTCCATAGTTTGTAACTGGGACCTGGATAAGTCTGTAAACCTGCAGGCAGAAAAAGCATTATCTGTGTCCTTCCCTCTCTTATCTCATTTCCTTTCTTAACTTGGATTTCGCTTCAAATCACTGTAAAAATATAAGTGAGTACAATAGTAGGTACAGGGCCTATATAATGAGATCAGATTGAAACTGTGCATGTTATGAACATAAATGAACTCTTTCCTCCTGATGATGATGACTCAGAAAATACTCCTGGCATGCGAAGAACACACAAATGAAGCTGTTCCCCTTTCCTCCCCCTTGAGCATAAAGGCTGGGGGTGCTGTGAGACCTAGCGGGAAGGAGCCGGTTCAGATTAAAATGTATTTGGGTATATTTCTGATCTGACTGACTTCTGGACCTTCCAGTGAAAATGGAGAGGAATCATAGTCCTAAAACATCTCTTTTAAGCAGGTGACCTTTGTCATTTTTGTCTCAGAGATGCCCTAGATGAGTGAGCATTAAGGGTACAGCCATTAGGGTCATTGTAAAGGTATTAACATATTATAAGCTTTTCATGCTAAACCCCCATGAGACACTTTTAAGAATGAATGACTATATTCTTGACGGATCTGTGGGGATTTAGTTAAGCTCTGTGGATGTGACACTGCCTTTTCTCCTGTTCACTGTGTTTGCAGCTGTGCAGTGTGTGTCTGTGAAAGGCCTGGGGTCTCAGGTTGGCAGTCCCCAGGGCAGTCCCCATGTGTTTCCAATATACAAGAACTTGGTAGACTACAGTGGGTCAGCCAGTTACAGCTGCCTTTTCCCTCTGCAGCAGGTATGGCACGGAGAGGCCCCGCTCTCGCAGCCCCATAAGCCGCTCCCTGTCGCCCCGATCCCACACTCCCAGCTTTACTTCCTGCAGTTCACCCCACAGCCCGATGGGGACCGGCAGGACCGACTGGGGAAATGGGAGAGAGTCATGGGATCAGTCCCCGTATTCTCGACGGGAAGAGGAAAGAGACAGCAGAGAATGGCGAGAGAATGGGGACGAGAAGAGGGACAGGACTGACACATGGGTACACGAGAGGAAACATTATTCCCGACAGCTGGACAAGTTTGATTTGGATGAACGGATTGAAGGAGGCAGGGGGCACAGAGAAAAATATTTAAGGAGTGGTTCCCCTGGCTCCCTTCACCCTTTATCTGGCTACAAAAGCAGGGAAGATGACTATTACCGAAAAACCTCTAAGTCAAAATCCGACAAGTTTCAGAGGCAACTGCAGGATTTACCTGGGAGATCTAAGAGAAAGGAAGAGGCAAAGTTAAGGGAACGCAGGCATTCTTACAGCGAGGATGCTGCCAGGGAGGAGGCAGCTGAACAGAAGCACAGCAAAGTGTCTGAGGGCTCCAGGCAAAAACAAAGTGATAAGAATAAGGCGAAGAAAGCTGAAAAAGACCAAGAGGAAGATGCTGCTGCTGAAGGTAGTGATGTGAAGGAAACCAAACCTCCCGAGAATGAGGTAAATAGAGATCTCAAACTGTATGTAAGAAGAAGGTAAATGCTGAAGTAATACATTTTCTGAAATATCTTAGATCAGTTGTTGTGGGTGTGGTGCTGGTGACATGCAATGTTTTGCCATGATAAAATCAGAGAATAGAGTCCTAGAAGAGATCTTGGGAGGTCATCTTGTCCACGTCTTTGCCCAGATCATGCAGATTTATTACACCGTTGTGGTGTTGGGTACCTGGACATTGTCTTTCTGTGTCAAGCATAGAACCTCTGGGTAACCAGTGAGGGGAACAGGGCAGACAACTCACAACAAAACCAAGTGACAACCTGCTGTTTGCATGCAGGTTGTGTGTGCAGGGGCAATTGCCCTACTGCTCTCTTTTCTAAGCCTGTGCAGAATACTCCATAGCTGCTTTCTCTGCATCCATCACCTCCTTCCACTGCCTGTGATGTGGATTGAATTATCTGGGAATTAAGCAGTATTTTACAGGGATGCACAATATTTGTAGGACACTACAGGGAACTGGTTGTTATACTGTTAAAATGGGGAATGAACTTTTAATGAGGAACATTTTCTTTTTGGTCAACTCAGCAGAGCAATTCGTTTCTATTAATCGTATGTCCCTACCCTCAGCTCTGGCAGGGATAATTCACACCACTCCCTTCAATGTGCTGGCAGGAATCTCCTCCTATGGCAGAACCACTGAATCAGCTCACCCGTAAAATTATGGGGTCTCTGGAGAAATACTCCCAGTTGGTAAAGTGGCAGCGCTTGTGGGTTTGATTCTCCACTGGGAAAAAGTGGAGAGGGAACAGATCAAGATGCCTCATTCGCTCAGTCCCAGTACAGCCCATGCTCATTTCCCCACCCTACGGGGATCTTGTTACTGGCTCTCGGCCACCTTGCCTCCCCCGGTCCCCCCTGGTGGTACACTGCCGCCATCCACCCCCGGGGATGCTGGCACAGGAGGCTGCAGACCTGCTTTGCTGACCGGGGGTCCACCTCTAGCTTGTGACTTTGTGCTGCCAGGGCCACCTTCGGTTGTTTTTAGTTGACCTTGTGTTCGTTCTTCTCATGTGGGAGCAAGGTTGGTGGAAATCTCTAGATCCTGTAACTCAGCTAGTCTCAGTAACAAGCAGCAGCACTACCTCATGCCATAGACATGTGTGTCTGTAGCACCTTTTGTCATCTTTCTCCTTTGGCTGGTATTTCACTGTGATGGATGGTTCCTTGGGATGAGATGTCAGAGAGAAATGTCAGACAGCATCCTAAATAACCAGTGTTGCACACTCCTCTGCATGTTTTTCAAGTTATTTTAAGGCTGCTTTGTTAAAGGCACACCTCTCCAGGGACTACAGCTAATAATTTATTTTAAAAGGAAGAAACAGGCTTGAATGTCTCGAACTCACACTTTTGCTTCGCCCCTCTTTTACCAAGTGCCAGGTAGTACTGTGGTTTTGTTCTTCCAAAGTATGAACTGTGCAAGCAGTTGCATTCTTGACTGATCCTACGTCAATAAACAAAACTGTTGAGGTCTTTTGTAGAGTTTTAACACTGCTGCTCTCCTTACCATGTCTGAGCCAACATAACAGATGTGGGTAGAGAACAGAGGAGTGGAGGCTGGAAATTTTAACGAATTCACATTCTCCCCCACCTGTCTTCTAGCCAATTCTATGATGTAAATTACATCTCTCTAATGTTGTTTAAATTTCTTTTTCTTAATTCTTACTTGTGCAGCTTTGCTAATGGAATCCAATTCTTGGGTCTTTTCCCACAGCCCAGTTGACTTGCATAAACTTTAGAAATAAAGAATGTGACCTTGTGGTGACTTTGCTTCCCTAAACCCAGAATAGAAACATAATAGAGCACCACTGTGTGTTGCCATACGTGTATATGTTGTATTTATTTTAGCTTGGAAAAGAGGAGCATGTTCCAGAGAAGAGCTCACCTTCAGCTAATAAACAAGGAAAAGAATCTGGAGAGATTCTGGAAAACACAAGAAAAGAGAAGGTTGGTGACACGTTGTTGGTGAAGCTTCCACGACAAAATGAGTGAAAACCCAGGTTTGGTAGCACATTCTCCCAACTGAAACATTAAACCCCCACAGAAAGTCATGTAAAGGGGTTGTAGAAGGGGGTTGTCTAAATTAACTTGCCTTATCTTGACCTCTGCTTTAAGGGATAGCTTTTCCTGAAGTCTCCAGAACTCTTTTTTTAGTTGCTCTTTGCCCATGTACATTGCTTCACATGCATAGCCCTTGGCACTGGCAACTGTAGGTAACGTATGCCCAAGTGAACTGTGTAACTTTGTGAACCGTGCCCAAAAGTAGATGTGGTCAGATGGTGGAGAAGGAGGGGATGAAAACTTTTCAGAACATTTGCCTTAGATGGACTATGGATAGTAGCCTCTTCTGATTGTTTCTGGTTTTAATTAAATAATGTCTGTACAGCACCCCTACTGCAGCATCGCAGTTGGGGACAGCAATGTCCTTGGAATTGCTCCAGCTTCATATCTGTAGGGTCATGGGTTGATGGTCAGATATGGAAGCTATTGATATCTGTTGCCGTAGAAAACTGATCTCCTGGCAAGAACAGTGTCAACTCCCAGAGTTTTCGTGCTGTTTTAGGATTCTAGGAGGGGAAGTGTGGGAATGGCCAAACAGGAGGAGAATACAGATTATTAATAGATTATGCGTACACGGTGAGTCTGGGAGTTGAAATCTAAGCTGCAAGTGTTTCTTAAAAGTATATATAAAAGTATATATACTTTATAATTCCAACATTTCTGAAGTCCAATGTTAGTGTCTGAGTCCTGTAAGTCTATAACTGCATGTATGAGGTATTTCAGATTATGTACCTTGGAGTATAACTGTAAAACTGATTTTTCTTAAGGTCTAGGCCAATCTCTACCAACACAGTCCCTGGCAGAGGGCTCTTGCTGGTGGAAGGAAATGACTACAGAAGGTAGCCACATTTTCTCAGTCACCGTAGGAATTTAAAGGACCTAGTCCAGCAAAATGAAAGCCACAGCAGCTAGACTGGGATTCAGTATACTCTCATTGTGCTGCCTGTTGCTCACCACCCTGGGATGGACGTAGAGGAAGGGGAGAGGTTCATTTCCTTGGGGATGACAGTGTAGAGTCGGTTGCATAATAAAGTATAACAGGTTGTGCCTTGTTCCACTGCTTACAGAAAAGTAAGGAGCAGGGGATGGGAGAGACTGTAATGCCCAAGGCAGTTACAGGATCTCCACAAAGTGAAGTTTGTGTGATAATTAAAAAGAGATTGCTTGTCCTTGTGCATGAGGTTTAAAATCAGAACACCAGGGCATATTGTTCTTTGAAACTAAAATACAAGAGCGGCTAGGCATGGCCAGATCGAAGTTCTTCCTGGTTACTGATGTTCAAAGCCCACTTTTTAACAGTGGTGATTTATAATCACTGTTCTCTCAAATGTTTTACATCTTTGTGACAGGACCGAGACTGGGACAGTGGAAGTGAGATAGAAGGTGAGACCTGGTATCCTGCTAACTTGGAAGAATTAGTGACAGTAGATGAAGTGGGCGAAGATGATTTAATTATGGAGCCGGATATAACTGAACTTGAAGAAATAGTACCAGTTGATCAAAAAAATAAAACTGCTTCAGAAATGTGTCCCTGTATGTCAACCATGTTAGAACTGAAAAACGATCACAGCCACTTAACCAGGAGTGAAGACAAATTTGCTCATAAAGCTTTAGAAACAAACTTCAGATCAGCAAAGGGCAGCGTAGCTTCTAGCGGCTGTCAGGATGATGATGAGGATGATGATAATGAGGATGCTGTAACTGAAGCATCAAGCCTAAATCTGGACCCTGAGCAGAAGCCAGAGGAATTGCAAGAAGACCAATCTGCTAAGGAGTCTGATCCCCAGCAGAAGGAAGGAAAAATTGATAAGAGCTCTGACACTCGCTTGGAGCCCGAAGATCACCATATACCTTCTGTTCATCTGAAAGAAGAGACTCTCCAGCTCCCTGATACATTTATAGATGATTACAAACAGATGGGATCACAAGGAGCTGAGAGCAGAGAAGTTATGGAAATGCTTGTTAAAAACGCTAGTGAAGAAACAAGACACGGAAGCCAAGAGTGTCCAGAGGCCAAGGGTAAATACTGTTTTTTTTCTTTTCAGCCCACAGAAAGCCTTGCATGTTTTCTCTGACAGTAGACTGAAATTTATTGCTAACGAGAATAAATGTTGCTAATAGTATCAAGATTTGTCCTTGGAGCAGCTCAGTAAAAGAACCCCGGTGCCTTTCGCCAAGCTAAACCATTAGAGGCTCTTAGCTGAATAGTGTAAAGGAAATATGATAAGCAGCTTGCAAGCTTTCTGAAAGGCATAAGCTGCTATAATTGTCATGTCAAGGTTCACATGAGTTTAGCTGAACTCTTTCAGTGCCCTGCTAAATTTATTTTGAATTGTCAATGAAATGAGTGACAGTCTCTGAAGGTCAACAGCAAAGTATCTGTAATGTCTGGCTGGCTCCTGGACAAGGTGGGTATTCTTACACACTGTACTGAAGCATTAGTAACATGGAAATCATCCGTAGATTGTTACTTCTCAGTCCCTGTTCACGCAAATATGTGCCTTTTGTCAGGACTTGCCTTATCATCTCCTGTTATCCACCGCATGCTGCCTTTAAAATAACTGATAGGACATGCTGTGAGATAATGCCAATAAATGTAATGATGGCTGCCTATTAATATTTTAGCTGTCAGGAAAAAAGAGGTCTTGAGTGTCTGAAAGTGAGCTCAGTTCCTCGTCACACTTTCAAATGAAACTTGAGCGAATGGGCTGTGTATAATGAGGCGAAGTGGAAAACAACACAGAGCGTGTTGGCCAGGAATGCTCCTTTTTGTTGCTACTGGAGTCCGTGTGATGGAGAAGGATTTGTGAACAGAAGTTGCTGGAAGATTTTTGAGGGTGCAATTTTCCACCAGAAAATGCTGGAACATTTAATGTGAATGTCTGATTGAACTAACTTCTTCCTTCAGGACAGATTTGAAACTTGCTCAGTTTTCAATGCTGTTTGGCCTCAAGACCCCTTGCCAGGCTTTGCATATTTGGAGATAACACTACCATGCAAACTCCCTGGGACTGGGGATGGTGAGGTTGGCTCCCGTGGGCTGCCCACTTCATGGACAGCCAGCTGGCAAAAGAGTTGGGTATCTCAAGAGCACAGTTACTTCGGTGTTTTTAGCATCTCAGCTTCCACCTTGACTGCAGGGAGCCTGGAAGCTCCAGGGGAGCTTGTGCTTCCCAGGTTTCTGCCATGGGCTTGATATCTGGGATCTGCAGTGCAAGGCTCCAGGCTCTCTGCAAATGCAGCTGCCAGCTCAGAAGCCCAGAAATCAACTTAAGTGGGACTTAAGTTGCCACAAAGGCCCTGGGTGTCTTAAGAAGAGCTAACTGAAGCTTGCAGGTTTTCCAGGATCTCTGCTGCAGATTTGGAAACCTGAGATGGGCTTAAAGTTAACTTGAAAGCCAACCAGTCAGGATTTTATATTATTTTCTTTTAAATCATGTAATAGACATATTTAAAACAATGAAGAAAAATTCATTCTCATAGCAGAAATTGCAGATCTTTGAACTACAGACTTGAAAGACAGGAAGGGTTTGGTCTGGGCAAAAATATATTTATTTTATGAGAGAATATATCCCTTATCTAGGTGAAATTTGCAATGCAATAGAAATTTTGTCAAGGTAAGGGAACTAGTTCTTTGTTGTAAGAACTGAAGAATATGAATCAGACGAGTTTATCTGTAATTCTCTTGCTCTGTGATAACATTTTTTTTTTTTTTAAATAAAAGCAATTCACATGTTGGGAAGGGAGAACATCTGTTCTTTTGACTGGCTTTATCTGCCTCAGCAAATCAATCCACTTTTTTCCACACCTTGAATCTCCTGCCTGTGTCCGTTAATGTCAGTCAGCAGGGACCAACAATCCCATTCCTACTGGCCAGGAACCAAAATCTTCAAGTGGCCAAGAGTGATAAAGCAGAAACTATCCCTTGGAGAACTGAGGATGGGAGAATGGCTCCAGGGAGAAGATGACAATGGTGTTGCAGGGGTCCTACCAGAGGAAGGTTTGCTCTGCCCATACAGCTCCTTAGGCAGTTTGGGGATTTGCTCTCAGCAGGTCCTGCTGGCCCCCCCTGTGTTAGCCCAGCTCCATCACTGGTCCTGCAATACCACACGTGGTTACGGAGCTGCACCTGGACCACGCTTGTGCCAGAGGGATGTACAATGTTATAGGACTATTTAGAGATTAAAATATGAAAAGAAAAAACGTAATGAAATTGAAATTAGAAATAGAAAAATCGTCTACTGGGAGAAATAGGGGTGACTGCACAGTGTAGTATAGCTGTTGGAGTTGCATTGAGTAGGCCTCTGATTTGAATGTAAAAGCATTTTTTCCAGATTTTACTTCATTTATAGATCCACCCAGAAAGTGTTCCCAAGAAGTTTACAAACGTCTCTTTAAACTAATAAACTGTTTTCATTCAATACATTTATTCATTTGTTAAGCAAATTCTAGGTACCTGGAAATGAGATCTCTGGAATACCCGGAGGTAGAGGCTAAAAGAAGGCATTCTCCACCAGGCTGGGAACAAGAGGACGTCTTCACCGAACTCAGCATTCCCCTGGGTACGTTCGGACGCCCAGGCTGCCCTCAGCCTGCGATGCCGCCCACTGCAATACCTAGAGCTTACAACAAGATGTCACTTTAAGGCTACTTGCTATATTTATTTTTCAGAATAGATGTGAGGAGAGCGAAGGAACAGGGTATATGACAGAGGGGTAGCTGTTGAAAGAAATAGGCTTTTGATTATAGATCATTGCTAATTTCACTCCAGATGAATGGCAAAAGATAGCTGTTAATGTCGCTGATGAGATGAAATAAGTTCCCTTGGACTATATATGAAATGTATAAGAAAAATACTTACTAATTTAAAAGTCTTTGTCATAAAAGTATTGATTATACTTTTAGTATAAGCAAAAGTATTGGTTTTACTGTGTAAACACTGATCATGAGTAAAACACCTGGAAGAAGTACATCCTAAAGAGCAATCTGTGTAACTTAAGCATGAATTTACTGCTAATAAGTGCTATTGCTATTCTAGCCCTTGAGGTTACACAGTGAAGTTTCCAGTCAACATTATGCATGAGAAGGTACATTTTTAAATATGCATAATATCTAAGAAAGAAGTGGAAGGTGTATTTGCAATGCACAGGATTTTAAACTGTAGCTCAGTATTGCAAAATTAGGGAAATCAGAGAAGTGAATCCAGGATTCAGTCTTCATATCTGTGCCGTTTAACTAAACAGCAACTTTTTTCTTGGAAAACAAGTTTCTTGTAGAGGGGAAGGGTTTCAAGTGACATTTTAATGTAATTCAGAATTTCTCCACAGGTGTGGAATTTGTGGTGCCTAGAACTGGGTTTTACTGCAAGCTCTGTGGACTCTTCTACACAAATGAAGAGACAGCAAAGACAAGTCACTGCAGAAGTACTGTTCACTACAAAAATCTTCAGGTAAAAACACACTTGAAGCTAGCTAACAACTAGCTCATGGGGTGGATTGTGCGTAAAATAGATGATACGACAAAAAAATTCATTTTTATTCTGTGGACAGAGTTCAGATGAAGTGAAATTTAGATAAGCAAAACTTTTCAGTAGTTCCAAATGTTAGCACACTAATTTCTCACTCCCAGATCCTTGAAATCAGCTTCTGGATCATAAATAAAATGGGGCCAGGTGATAATTTGATCTTCTCATCTACATTTGGTCCTTGTCACTAGCACAGCATGCAACTCAGATCTTTAATTCTCTGTTCTTGAGGGTCCCAGACGTTTCTATCACTGGGACTGAGCCCAGCAGCAGCCTTTCTTATTTCTTAATTTCAGGACCATTAAACATGCCACTTGTTTAATAATGTTGCCAGACTTATTTTTGCATTAGCGTGAATTTCTGCAGCATGTTTCAGCACGCGGTACTTTGTGCCGCACAGGCTCTCCGAGGCATTTCCTGTGACCTGCTGAAATCCCCTCCCTGTGCTGCAGAACAGCAC